TCCTCAGCAAAGTGACACATCCACATGGGCATGCCATGAGCCACACAGGCATCCTACCTGATAAGACATAAGTAACAACTAGGTCACGGTGACAGAGAACTACTATTCCAGAAGCACAAAACTTGGCTGATTGCGTCTCTCCACTTTCCAGACCCTGCTTCTGTGTCTCAGTGCAGCTAATAAAGTCTCCTGTGTCTTGGTGGATTCAGCCAGTGCCTGCCTGTCAGCACCATCCTAGGGGTAGAAATGTTTCTTACACTTTCAACAAATAAAGGATCAAAAATGTATCACAAAGAACTGACTAGATGCTCGGTGGATAGAGGTGCTTGCTGCTAAACCAATCCTGACATCCCAAGTTTGATCCCCAGGAACCTATATGGTAGAACAGACTAGCAAAAGTTGTCCTCTGCAGCCAGGCAGTGGTGGCGCACGCCTTTAATCCCAGCACTTGGGAGGCAGAGGCAGGCAGATTTCTGAGTTCGAGGCCAGCCTGGTCTACAGAGTGAGTTCCAGGACAGCCAGGGCTACACAGAGAAACCCTGTCTCGAAAAACCAACAACAACAACAAAAAACAAAATAAAACACAACAAAAAAAGTTGTCCTCTGATCTTCACATGTGTACTATAACATAGACAATAAATCATGTAATAATCTGATCTTCACATGTGTACTATAACATAGACAATAAATAAATGTAATAAGAATTTTCTGAGGCTAGAGAGAAGGCTCATCAATCAACAGCACTTGTGATTCTTGCATGAAATACATTTAAAAAGATAAAGAGGAAAGAAGGAAAGCCAGGCCCAAGTGTGGTGGTGCACACCTTTAATCCTAGCACCTGGGAGGCAGAGGCAGGAGGATCTCTGTTACTTCCAGGCCACTCAAAAGTACATAGTGAGTCCCTGTCTCAAAAAAAAAAAAAAAAGAAAAGAAAAAGAAAAAGAAAAAGAAAAAGAAAAGGAAAAAAAGAAAAGGAAGGAAAGAAAGAAAAAGAAAACCAGGAAGGAAGTAGAGCAAGCAAGCCATGATAATTGGTCAAGCTTATGGGAAAGATTGCTAACAACAGGACCACATTTCTTCTATGTAGCAATACCTCAGCTGTACTTAAGGCCAAGCATACATGACCCCTGAGTTTATCTTACACCTTTCCCAGCTGTGAACCTGAGATTTTCTGGGAATTTCATAAACAAGACTATTAACTTTGTGTTCTGTACAGAAATTTCTTAAGTCCCCTGTGTCATTCCGGGACCTGTGTCTTTATCACCCCAGGAGTTAATTTACTGAAAGGAAGTGGGGGAAACTCTTAAGAAGTGTTTGCCCGGGTCCAATGAGATAGTTCATCAGGTAAAAGTACTTACCATGCAAGTCCCAAGACCTGGGTTCAATCCCTGGAAACCACGTGGTAGAAGGAACTGACCTCTGGAAGCTGTCTTCTGATCACAGACACACCCTAAATAAATCTAACAAAAATGTTGGTGTAAGACACATCATGGGAATCCTCTCTTGAGAAGCCCATAACTGCACTCTGATGTGTATGGTTTTCCTGAAGTGTCTTTCTCTGTTGATGCCATGCTTAAATCACACGGTGCACATACATACAAATATGTATGTATTCAGGCATATGTGGATTTTTGTGTTTTGTAATGTCTTTTTAAAAGTTTTTATTTGTGTGCAACCTGTATGAAACTTTCAGTTTTGAATGATAGATTTAGCAGCCAGAGTGAAAGCAGAAGGTTCTGGTGAGATGGCGCAGTGTGTCAGCGTGCCCACTGTCAAGCCTGGCTACCCAAGCTTGATTCCCAGCATCTGAATTGGTAGAAGACAGACTCAGTTGAATCCTGAAAGTTACTCCCTCATCTCTGTGAGGAACAGAGGGAGCCCTGAGTGTGTGAGGTCCAGAGTGGGGAGGGGAGGGGGCATGTGTGAAGTCCATCTCTGGCCCATGTGTAGCTGTTGATGGTGTATACAGAAAATAACAGTAGCCTTTTCCCAGATATTTATGGCCTGAAGACTTCTTTCCTACAGAAACAGACCAGGTAGAGATAAGCTGAATCTACCTCCTTGTTTAGCTGTGTGCAGTAACCCAGTCTCTCTGTTGAACTCTGTATAAGAAACCATTGCGTTCCTAGGTCCTGCATTTTCTCCAGCAGAGGCCAGCCCTCCCAATCCCAGGTTTTCTGTGTGTCTATGTGTTTTCTAATTTTCCGGATGTCCAGTTAGGTTTGTCCCTGGAGGGATGCTGGACATGATAGACCTCCTCCAGATGCACTCCATGGTACAGATACATATTAATTAAATAACTGTAATAACTGTCTTGTTTTTGTTGTTCAAGACAGAATTTCTCTGGGTAGCCCTGGCTGCCCTGGAACTTGCTCTGTAGACCAGGCTGGCTTCAAACTCAGAGATCACCCTGCCTCTGCTTCCTGAATGCTGAGATCAAAGGTGTGATAGGGCTATCACTGCCTGGCTAAAATTTTGTAAAAAGCATCCTGGGCTGGGCAGTGGTGGCGCACGCCTTTAATCCCAGCACCTGGGTTGCAGAGGTAGGTGGATTTCTGAGTTCGAGGCCAGCCTGGTCTACAGAGTGAGTTCCAGGACAGCAAGGGCTACACACAGAAACCCTGTCTCGAAAAACCAAAAAAAAAAAAAAAAAAAAAAAAATCCTGATTTTGAGCTTTCAGGGCTGTGGTTCAGTTGGTAGAATTCTTGCCTTGGGTTCCATCCCATGTAAATGGAGAACACCTGTCATCTCAACACTCAAGAGGTGACAGCAGCAGGGTCTGAAGTTCAAGGTCATCCTCAGCTACTTAAGGCCAGCTTGAATAGAGTGAGACTCTGTTTTTTGTTTTTTGTTTTTTTTAAAAAAGAGAGAGATAGAGTATTGCCACAGTTTGAGGATAGCCTACCCTACCAGCTCAGCCTGTTCTACAAAGCAAGTTCCAAAACAGCGAGAGCTACACAGAAGAACCCTGACAACAAAACACCCAGGAACACACTGAGAAGCCTTGCCTGGAGCCAATTGCTCCACTCTGGTCTTCTCTACCAGACAGGATTTGCTCCAGAGTCTTGTAGGAACATACTTAAACGACTTCATCAAGCTTGGTCTAAAAGACACAAGGTCCTATAACCGTACATAACCTCCGCAGCTACCTGCCAACTGTCATTCTCCTTGGGCTATAGAGTGATCTACCTGAATTGCTGCTAGTATGGACACCATTTACAGATGAGGAGACTCAAGCTCTGTGGTTGAGTGCATGAGTCATCAAAGGCTGGTGAGTGCTGAGGCTCAGTCTCAGAATACCTGGATCTTGGGGTGCCTTTTCATACTTCCCACTTCCAGGGACTGGGTGTGCAGATACACACTCTTACGGTCTTTGCAACCAACAGGCAGGAAGTAGGTTTGACTCACTCTATAGGAGAATCAAGGAGGAAGTGTGGGCTAGTGACATGGTTCAGTAGGTAGAGGTATTTATGGCAAAGCATGACGGTCTACGTTTGACTTGTGGGATCCACATGATGAAGAGAACTGAATCCTTTGACCTCCACATGGGGGTCTGTAGCAGACATGCACTCACATAAACAATATATTTTCATTTTTGGAAGAGGTTCTTACTATGGAGACAGGCTGGCTGCAAACTCTGAGATCTGCCTGACTCTTGAGTTCTGGGATCAAAGAAGCAAGTCTAAGACAGCCAGGACTGTTACATAGAGAAACTCTGTCTTGTAAACCAACCAACCAAAAACCCAAAGATGTGTATCATCACCATACCAGGCTTCGTTCGAAACAGGGTCTCTTGTGGCCTTAATCTGGTGATCCTCCTCAAGTCTCTACCTCCCAAGTGCTGGAATGACAACTGCTTGCCGTTGGTGTCTGTGAGGCGCTGGGGATGGGTCCCAGGGACTTGTACATGCTAGGCAAGCCCTCTACTACTGAGCTACAACCCCAGCTTCTCACGGTCGGATTCTACCAAGGCACTGCACCTTTGAACCACATCCTTAGCTCTTTTTAGTTTTAGTTTACGACAGGGTCTGTGTTGCCCAGAGTAGTCTCTGACTTCTGACAATCCTCCTGCCTCAGCTCAGCCTCCCTGGCAGTTGGATTACCAAGAGTATCTACATGTGACTGGTATTATTTGCCAAATGAAAACAGGTGCCTTCAATTAAAGGCCCAAATGGGTTTTGTGTCACCTGGAATCTCAGCACCCAGGAGACAGGAGGTGGGGAGACAGGTGCCAGTCTGAGGCTAACCTGGTCTACACAGGGAGCTCCAGACCATTTAGAGACACACAGGAAGACCCTGTAAAAATAATGTAAAACCATGAAGCCAGGGAGCACACTTCCACCTGGAGAGGAGGTAGGTGTGGCGGGCACTAGGGTCCGACAAGCGAGAGCTCAGTAGGGAAACTGCTGGGCTCTCCGGCAGAGGACTTGTGTTCTTCAGCTGTACAAAGGCCCAAGACCTTAATCTCCACTCTGCAGATGACAAAACTTCTTCGGGGGTCTTCTCTCAGGTGTCCCCTCACAGGCTCTGGAAATTTCAAAGGCTTAGCCCCAACCACCCCTGGGAGGAAACAAGGGAGCTGGGCTGTTGTTGTAAACACTGCCCCACCCGGAACGGAAGCACCTGCGGCTGGAGGGGGCCGCACCTCTCAACAATTGCCTTCAGATTCCTCAGGGTCCATGTCCCCTGTAACTCTGGGGCTAGTCCCTCCTCTGCTTGGTGTCTGCACTCCTGGGTGGCTGGCAGGCTCCCAGCTTGGGCGGTGCCCCCCATGGCTGGTCCCTGCCCCTTCCTGCTCGCTTTGATGCAGGCCCACTTCCTTTGACAGGAACCCCCTCCCTCAGCAGCCTGGTAAAAGGCAGAAGTCCGTGGTGAAGCAGAGCCTTCCGCAGCATCTCTTACAGGCAGAGGACTCTCCTCAAGGCCCTGTCTCCCAACCCTTGTACCAGTGCTGTGCCTCAGACCCTGGTACAGGCCTGGGGGACAGGGACTTGGGGACCCCAGCGGCAGCAACTCCAGCAAGGGACTTTTCCCCAGGTCTGTTCTCTTCCCACATACAGGGGATGCCTTGGGTCCTTTTGAGTGGGTGTTCCCATCACTCCCACATCCATCCAGACCAGCCTGTGGCCTTCTTCCCGTCACCCACCTTCTAAAGGTTCCTGTTGTTTACCCTGTCCCTGGACATAAGCCCCAGAGAAGACAGTGGCGACAGGGTTTCAAGAAGCAGACTATGATACTCAAGCTGGAGATCTTGCCCCTTCGTAGGTGTCTTCACCTGCAAGGTGAGTGTGGGACTCTGCTTGCTCTTCAGCTGTGGGAAGACCAGAGACCCCTGGGGAAAGCACAGTTCCCTGGGGTATTGAAGAGCTTAGACCTAAACTGAGGTCAGGGGCTCCACCCTCTCTTCCTCCCAAGAGACAGGGCAGAGCAGGGGATGACTAGACCAGGTAATTGACCATGTCTACTTGGTTACCAAGATTTAGAGGCTCAAAAATGGAGCCCAAGGGAATGAATGCAGCAGACACCTCAAGCTCAGGAAACCCCTTAGGTCAATCTCTGCTCTGGCCCAGGACACAAGAGACTCCAAGCCTGTTCTGTAGTTGGAAAATAACTTTATTTGTTCTAGGGCATTGGCCAGAGTCCCCTTAGAACTTCTGGAACTGCTTCTTGGTGCCAGCAGCCTTGGTGACCTTGAGCACATTGAATCGTACAGTCTTGCTCAGGGGCCTGCACTCTCCAACGGTGACAATGTCGCCGATCTGTACATCCCTGTGGGGTTAGACAACAAGAGTCTTCAGGAGGAGCCTCCCCAGCAGTCCCTTCATCCACAGACGAGCTGAGGGTACCCTCCTTTGCCCCACCTAGACAGCCACCATCTGTGTGGTTGCTAAGACCAACACACACTATAGCTTCTAACCCCCATTCGGCAGCCGCCTTCCCCAGCAGGGTACACACTCCTGGACCCCACACTCAGCACACAGGACACTTCACCGCCTTCCCCAGCAGGGTACACACTCCTGGACCCCACACTCAGCACACAGGACACTTCACTTTGTTCCAAAAGACACCCACGCGTCCATCACCTCTCCAAATCTGGGGCCCTTCCTGACACCACAGGTGCCTTCCAGCCTAGCCAGTTATCCCAAGCCATCTGTGAACCATGATCACCTGAAGCAGGGGGACAGGTGCACAGACATGTTCTTGTGACGCTTCTCAAAGCGATTGTATTTTCGGATGTAATGGAGATAGTCCCGGCGGATGACAATGGTCCTCTGCATCTTCATCTTCGTCACAACACCTGGGAGAGGGCGACAGGAAGGTGTTAGCAGGTAGGGATCAGTTGAGTAGGGGGTCCCAAAAAGTTCCATTTACGGCCTCAGCTTTGCCAATTGACTGTCTCAGCAGTGCCCTGGAGGACATCTGAAGACCATCGTGAGAACAGACATCATTTGCCAGCACCCCTGGACACAAGAACCTAGAATTACCCTTTAACTTCTCACTCACCAGACAGGATCCGACCTCGGATGGAGACATTGCCGGTGAAGGGGCATTTCTTGTCTATGTAGGTGCCCTCGATGGCCTGTACGGATAAGAAAGTGTGGTTTGGACTACCATTTCCTAAACAGACCCAAGGAGGAAGCCTCAGGGACCCAAACTACAATTCCCAGGGGCCCCATGGGCAGCCACTCTGAAGAGGGCGGGGTGACTGTGCTTCCACATGTGCAGGGCTGCATGAACCTCATCTGTTGGAGGGTCCTGTACCTCTTTGGGCGTCTTGAATCCTAGACCGATGTTTTTGTAGTACCGAGGGAGTTTTTCCTTGCCAGTTTCTCCCAGCAAAACACGCTTCTTGTTTTGAAAGATTGTAGGCTGCTTTTGGTAAGCACGCTCTGTCTGTAGGGTGAGATCACAGGTAAAGTTCGACAGACCAGAGATAATATTTCTTCCTTTCTAACTTTTATAATATTCACCCCGAAACGTCCAAACTGGCGGGCCGGCGCTCCACAATCACCACAAACCTAGTTTAGCTTACTGCATTCTGTCTACCATCTCCACAGCTTGCAGAATTCACAGCTGAGATCAGAAGTAGCTTTTCAGCAGTACTGGTTCCCCCAAACACACAAATTCACTCACTCAGGATTCACATCGTACGCACACGCAGCTGAGCCTGGTGGGCCAGATCTGTCATCCAGGTACTCGAAAGGTTGCGGCCGGATGGCAAGTTTAAGACCTGACTAAGCTAGTTAAAGCCAGATCTGCGCCAACATTTAAAATTACAGCACGGGGCTGTGGCTCTGCGGCAGAGCACTTGATAGAGAGCACGAGGCCCGAGGCTCGATTCCCATCAAGGGAAAAGATACTGCTTAAACTAGTCCCCAGGCTTGCCCTCAGGACTCCGGCCCCTCAGGACGCCTCTTCCCTCCGCAAACCATCATCCGTTAACGCCTAAGTTTTGAGAACTAACTCCCAAAGCGCTCGAGACCCCGTTACTGTGTAGCGTCCAGACCGCCAAGCCGCCTATCAGATGAAGGCACACGCAGGCACCTAGCTTCAGCTAATTCGTAAGACAACGAGGACGCCAAGGATAAGCTCCACACTGAAAAACCGAGAGAAAATAGCTAAACGCTCGAACCTGAATGTCCGCCATCTTCCCGGCAGCTTGAGAAAAGGAAGGCTAGGCCCACTCCCGGCTTCCTTATTCACCACGCGAGGTCTTGAGCGGAAGTGGCGTAGGGTCAGTCCCTTCCGGAAGTAGGAGGTACTTCCGGCGACAACACGCGCTTCTAGGACTATTCGTACGCCGCCATGATGGTGTAGGACTAAGGGGCGGGAAGAGAATCCTATCATCTCGCGAGATTTCAGGGGTCCGCTGCCGAGTGTTCATTTTGGCCGTAAAAGTGCATCGTGTGGTATCGCGAGAGTCGTAGGACGGAGTAAAGTGTCTTCTGCAGCTGGATTCCCAGGGGTCTCGAGAGCCGCGTGGTGGTTCATGTTTTCCATGGAGAAACGATGGTGCAGAGCGTGTCGCGGGAAAGTGGGTGAACTGCTTTACACCAACTAGCTTCCCAATGATGTCACGAGCAGCCAGAGTCGACTCAGCAATTTCCTTTTATTAATAGCTTCTCCTTTGATTAAAGGCTCACAGCCATTTGCTGACTAGCTCCGGTTCCGCTAGTGAATATTTTTGCGGCAAGGTGTCCAAGCTGTGGTTGAAGTCATCCAAAGCTCAAGTGCTAGAACCTTAAGTGTTAAGTCATGTAGATTAACAAGGTTGCTTGTCTGTGTTATCTCACTGTCCCGATCCGGAGGGCCATCAGGCAGATTCCTTGCGTTTCAGTCCCACACTTTGATAGGTTTATAGCCGGATTACTTTGAGGATTGTGTGACTTTAGGAGGTGTCCACTCCAAGTAATGGAGGGACCCTAATAAATTAAGCCAGGGCTTAAGAGGTGGCAAAAGCTTCTGTGCCAAAGTTTCAAGTATTCACAGCTACAGCTCTGTACAGAATAGCTACTTACAAAATAGAATGACACGGGGCTGGAGAGGTGGCTCAGAGGTTAAGAGCACTGACTGCTCTTCCAAAGGTCCTGAGTTCAATTCCCAGCAACCACATGGTGGCTCACAACCATGGTGCCCTCTTCTGGTGTGTCTGAAGACAGCTACAGTGTACTCACATACATAAATCTTAAAAAAAAAAAAAGAGTGACACTTTGTGAATGGTGCTGGTTGCCTTTAATCCCAGCACTCACGGTGAGGCCTAAGGATTTCTATTTAATTGGAGAGTTCCAGATTAGCAAGGTGTAATAAAACCTGTCTCATGGATTAGGTCAACATGAGAAGGATTTGATGTTAACCAGGAAGGTTCAGCTCCATCTAAAAGGTGTGGTACTCTATAAGCAGAATTTGAGAAAATTGGGTGTGTTCATATAAATCCCACCCAGCATTAAGGCTGACATAAATGGCCAAAACCTAGCTTCAATCCTTTATGTCAAAAATTGCACCTCCCTTTCTAGGTTCTGTTTAACTCACCATCTCTGTACCCCTTTAATCCTAGCCTCTACTCGACCTCCTGGAGTCCAGGTACCAGTGACAATTCCATATTTTGCAGCTGAGAATAAAACCATCTACGACAGGACCCACAATTTGTACCTGCACCTTCTGAGCAACAAACCACATGACCAGTTTTCAACAAAAGGGGCACACCATGAGGCAGTACACATGTGCACTGTCCTGCCCTCTGCCCCTCCCTGCATAACAGATCCAACGCAAAACACCAGGTTTAATTAAGTCAAATAATTTATTAGCACACAGAACGCTCCAGAAAAATATTGCTTTGTGGTCTGTTGGGGAGTAAAGGCAGTGCATGTACTTGGTGTCTTCAGTGTGCACGTCTAAATCCCAGCCCAGGGGGGCAGCCCTCATTCTCATAGCTGCAGAATATGGTATTGCACCAGGTGGGTGGGGCAGCCCTGCTACTCATTTTCAACACTGAAGCTCAAGTCATTCCATGGTTTTCACTTCAGTAACTCAATAAGAGGTAAGCTCAATGTACCCTCTAACCACAGGAGCAGTGCCTAAGGAACCTTAGGTCCCCACATCCCTGGTCGGCGATGGAGGAAGGGCAGGCCAGGCAGGCATGAGGCACAAACAGTCTTTATTGGGTTCACACCAGGAGTCCATTGGTCTTGAGGACCTCTGTGAACTTGCAGATTTTCTTCTCCACATTCTTTTCTGCCTGTTTCCGTAGCCTCTGTGATTTGAAAAGACAAGTGTCAGCAGAGTGGTTGCCACTCAACCAGGACCACCCTAACCCAGGAGTGCAGGTTGTGTTCGTACCAAGAGCTGCTTCTTCTTCCTATAGTGAATCTTGGCCTTTTCCTTCCGTTTCTCCTCCAGAGTGGCTGTCACCGCCTGGTACTTCCACCCGACCTCATGAGCCAGACGCCCCAGGTAAGCAAACTGCAGGGGCACAAGGCTGTAAGGACATGGAACGTGCCCCAGCAGCACAAGGGTGAGCCCTAGGGACGTTTCAGGGACTCATCCCCTACTGAGGGAGTCCTCCTGGCATCAGCTTAGCCTTTGGCATTATCGGCACTGCCCAAGTCTATGGCATACGAAGACCATCGTGAGAAAAAACCATCATCTGCCAGTCCTGAGGTCCCACAAGTATATTCTGCATGTAACCTTGCTGTATGCTTACCTTTCTGGTAGGCTTCAGCCTCACAACCTTGAGGGCAGCAGGGACCACCATCCGCTTTTTCTGTTAGAGAAAAAGAGGAGCTAAGAGACCTGTTGGGTGGAAGCACCTAGCAAGGCTGGCAGGGCAGGCGTCTCAGCCAATGGAGTTTTCATGAGGTTCAAACAATGTAGGTAATAGCAGAACATCACAGACGCTGGACGCATAGAGGCTGTGTGTGAGGCTAGGCTTGCAAGGCTCACCTTGTCATAGGGTGGAGGGATCCCATCCAACACCTTGAGGCGTTCCAGGGCAGCCTGGCCTCTCTTGGTCTTGTGGGGCAGCATGCCTGTGGGTGTAACAGCAGGCCTCATTAGAGGTGCTGAAAACCCCATCTGACCCCAGGAGCAGTGAGATAGGCCAGCCTCAGATGGTAGTGCATGTAGAGTCATCTCATAGTTGGGCAACTCGAACATGAGTGGGAGACATCCTCATCACAAGCTGCAGGTATTCTACTGCCCTATATGTTACCCATGGGACCGGCTTACCTCGCACAGTACGCCAAAAGATACGGCTTGGGGCTCGGAAGTGGTAGGGGCCTCGAGAGGGGTTGGTATTCATCCGCTTTCGGAGAAAGGCCAGATACTTTACTGCCAGGAGGAAAAGTATGTGAGATCTCTGTGGTACCAAAACCAGACAACTAAAGATCAAGCTAAACCAGGATCAAGTCAGCAAACTCCCACCTGAAGACCACCGCCCCAGCCCTAACTCACACTTGTTTCTGTAGAAATTTCCAGAAATGTTGATGCCCTCACAGCGTACAACTACCACCTTCCGGCCTAAAAAGAGCACAGAGACAGTCAGGAAACTCCCTTTACTACCAGCAAAGCCACATCCCTCATGGAAGGCTGATCTCTTCCAAAATCATGAGTCCCAAGGAAGCAGGGGCTGGCAAGTCTCAGAGCGGTGCATGGGTTGATCTCACAGTCGTGAGACTCAAACGAAAGATGGTGATTATTGCTCATCACTGACGCCCAGGCAAATGGAGATGCTGAATGAAACTTACCCAGCAATACCTGCTTGGCCACAATGGCCGCCAGGCGGCCCAGAAGATGGCCTCGGCCATCCAATATTAGAACCTGTGGAAACAAGGATTAGGAAGCAGTAAGCAGTCTGGCTCTCCAAGTTACCAACCCCTTCAGTGCCTTTCCCCACCAGGATGCCTACTATCCAGATGAACCAAGTGTCCCAAAAGGGCACTATAAAACCAACAAAGCCTAAGCCTGACCAAGCATAGACTTCGCGTGCTTGGAATTCTTTAGCATTCCTAATGTGCACATAATTTCGTTTTTTTAAATGGAACTTCCTTGTTACCCTACCAGGCCTCAAATTCCATGATAGCTGGGATCCGCTGGCATATATACGGGCAGACCCATGCACTACAACAAGGTTTGGACTTGGTTTTAGGCCCTAGCCAATTGTCAGCTTGCTGATGACCAGAACCCTCTTACAAGCAGCTCAAACGAACCCGATTTAGCTAAGCATACCACGGGTGTCCTGTCCTGACTGTGATTCTGAGCAGTGCAGAATGGTATAAATCTAAATCCTGGATTCATTTACATTAACTCCCAGGCACGGTGGCACATGCCTGTAACCCAGCACAACCTACGTGAGAAACCAATTTCTAAGATACTGTTTACTGGAGGATCTCAGAACTTTTACTTCCTGACCACCAACCTGCCTTCAAGGCATCTAAAAGCAGGAAAGGTGCGGTTCAATTCCGGACCAGACTCAAACTCACGAGGTTCCTAAGTCTGTTGAATAATTGGCTTTTGTAAGTCTGTCCCATCAATTCATCCCTTAATTCTGGAAGCACACTGGTAACACCTTGAAAAGAACTATAAGCCAAAATATCGGACGTTACAGAAATCCGGTGCCCTAAAGTCATGCAAAGCAAGAGCCTCCATCCCATCAGTCTCCTGTCTTACAAACATAACACCAGGAATGAGCAACTCCAAGCTCATAAGGTCGACCTAAATGCCGGAGATGAAACCTGTAAAAGTTCTTCCCGGTCTTGAGAACCCGAGCCCCACTCCCGTCTTCCCCAGGAAAAACGCTGCCTTTTCATCGCCTCATACCTAAAGACTGCTGCGGCTTGTTAAGCCCACGCTACACAATCCCTTCGGGTGAAAACGTTTGCTTAAGTCCCATCGCACAAGTAGAGTGGAGCAGTGGCCCCCACTCCGCTCCCGCCTGGAACCCACCCGACCCCGCACCGCCCGGCGCGCGCAGAGTCCCAACCTGTCCCTCCGCCATCTTCGGTAGCCGCCTGGGAAAGGAGGAGGTCTTGGCGCAGGGTTTCTTATCCCTTGCTGCAGGGGCGGAGGAAGTGACGCAGCCAGCTAGAGCTGGAGAGTTTCTGTCTTTTCATTGGTCGAAGCGGTAAGTGCGCGTCTATTGGGAGGCGGGCCATTTTATACTGTCCAATCAGACTATCGCATGAGTTGGATCCTGGCGGCCATGACTTTGCGGGGCGAGAGGTCACGTGGGACTCGAGGCGCCTTCAAGCCGTACAAGGCCGTCCAGCCGCAGCGGCCATATTTCGGAGGGATTGCTCTTCTCGGTTCTGGTATCCGGGATGTGGAGCGCCATTACTCCCGTCAAGTAATGGCGGTTGCAGAACACGTGGTGGCCATAAGGGGGCGAGCATAGGTCCTTCGGAGCTGTGTGTAGCGGTCCCTCCCCTCAACCTTAAGGTGTGCTGACAATTGCTGGCCTTTTCTGAACCTAGGAGTTTCCTAGGTGGAGGTAATCTTCCTGAATGGAAGAGTGTGGGGGAAAGAGGGACTTTCAGGTTCCTGAGAGGCAGACGCACTCACTTGCTTTTGTTCCCAGGCCCGTGTTTCAGCTGTGAATGTTGTCTGAGCTGTCCTCCCGGCTCTGCACCCATAACCGCCCGCCACCAAAGGAAAACGACAAAAAAGGACAGTAGATTGTTCAGAATCAAACACCACTTTTGTCCTGAAAACCTCCCTAAACATCCTAGCCTAAGTCGATTCCTCCTGTAGGTTCCAACACTGCTTTGCTTTCTTGTTACACTTTGGGGCCATGATTTTGGGGAATTGGGCTGCTTCTGCTTCACATGAGTCCTACAGTGCATTACCCCATGCTGACCCTGGGCTACTGGAGGCCTCGGAAAACAAAAAGAATCTTTTCGTTCGTTGGGTTTTTTTTGTTTTTGTTTTATCGAGACAGGGTTTCTCTGTGTAGTCCTGGCTGTCCTGGAACTCACTCTGTAGACCAGGCTGGCCTCGAACTCAGAAATCCACCTGCCTCTGCCTCCCAAGTGCTGGGATTAAAGGCGTGCGCCACCAACGCCCGGCATGGTTTGGGTTTTTACTATAAGATTTCTGTAATCCAGGCTGACCTTCAGATCCTGCCTCTGTTCTGGAGAGCCTGTATTGCATCACCAAGCACCGAAAGAGACAAGATTCTGAAACCTAA